TTCTCATCTGAAAAGGCAAGCAGCATTTGAGAGATTTTGAGGATGAAAACTACTATAAAGTACTTGGTCTTGTATAATTAGTCTTTTTAGATAATGTTTTGCTATGTTGTTTTTGTACTGCTGTAATCTAGTTTCTATTTACGATTTTCTTTCCTTGGTGGGTGGAATCATCTTCTACTTTTTGCAGTAATCAGTCAGCAGGCTGCTATTTCTTTTCAAGTCACATAGACTCATGTCTAATCTGTACAGCCCTGACATATTTTGATCATGTCCTTCTACCTTCTGCCGTATTGCAATTACAAGTAGAGAAGGTATTAGTGGATGTGCAGTCTCCTGCACGTACAGTTTCCTACATTTCATGAAAATCCATTAGACAGGACTGCAAATCGTGGCCAGTGCTGAATGCTGGGGTGGGGAAAAGAAGATCTGAATCGGCAGGAAGAAATCATCCATCTGTGTAGCTAAACCCGCTCCTGGCTTCAGGCCATGCTGTGCCACATGCAGATTAGTTCCAATTAGATGAAGTGGTAGCTGACCCTTGGCTGCCTCCTCTAAGCCTCCTGGTCCTGTGCAGCATTGGTAAGAGTTGCATCCATTCCAGCTGAGCGGGGAGAAGAGGTGAGAATGTGTTTGGTATTTATCAGCTGAATGCCTGAGGAAGCTCTGGTCAATACTTCCTGCAGGAAAAGGTATTTCAATCTTCAGCTAACCACTACTTGGCAGTTTTTAACTCAGTGAAACTTCATTTCTTCAAGGAGCTAGAATTCATGTCTGCAGGACTTAAATTCCTGCAATTATGTGAATGAAGGCTGACTTCCTAAGGCTGTATTTAGCTATCTGAAGACTTTGCTGCTATTGGATAGGCAGAGGTGACACAAATTTGAAATAAACTCTTTTCTCACACTTAGGATTCTGATGTTGATTCCCTAGGGAAAATGCCCTCCACAGAAAATGTCTAAAGGCTGAATATAACTCCTGCCATAACTTGTGTAATGGAGCTGACTACTGCCCTCAAAGATATCTTTTTAAAATTTTCCTTTCTTTTCTTTTCTAAAATATGCTAAAAACAATGGATGTGTGTGTCCTCTAAACAGAAGGAGCTGCATAAATTTTCTTTACATATGAATTGTTATGACATTCTTCGAAATTGCACTTCTGTATCGTAAATACCCAGCAAAATAAGATTTTCTTTGAAAGATAACTTAATGAAGGTTTAACAGTTAGCAAAATTAATCTATTTTCAAGCCAAAATATTGATTATGTCATGATTCTCCCGTATTTTGTAATAATTTGTTATTTCAAAATAGATTCCTGTTTCTATTATGGGCTTTCAGCAGTGACCAGAAGCCTACATGATGAATTACTATCTGTGAACCTAATCCTGAAAATACTTAATTATATAAGTAGCTGCAGAAGGGTAAGGCTTGTCTGGCTGTGCTCCAGATTGCCAGCAGTGCAACTCTAAAAGTATACAATGATAAGCATTTTTTTGGCCCTGAAAATACTTACATGCATCTATTTCCTTAAATACATAGAAATAATCTTTCAGATACTATGAGGAAATGTGGCACATGCATAAAAGCACCGTTTATTTTGTACTGGCTTCTTTCTTACACTTCATTACTTTGCATAGGCAAAGCTGCTATGTAGAGAACAGAGCAATAATGCAGTAGTTACACATACAGCTGTAGAAAACTGAAGCAGGATCTGTTATAGGGAATCTGCTCTGCATTCAGTGAATCTGTTATCCACAGAAAATCTCATTAATAATAATACCCTCATTAATCTCGTTTTGGTGCTGTGGGTGTTCAAATCCAAGTACTAGCACTGTGATGGGTCGAAGGTGGTATGACTTGAACGTGAATTTTCCCTACCTGTCCTGTCCTTTCTTCAGTTGACAATATATGTTGTTATAGGCAAATTAATTTCTCTTTGCAACACCGAATACATATTTTCAGAAGCAGAACCTGTTCTGGCTAGAAATTCTTTTGAGTCATAATGTGAAGAGAACTTCAGCCTCTCTGGATCATGTGTGCTGCTATTCCCCTCTGCCTTGAAATGAGTAGTTAAAGGAAAATGCAAGTTAACGATTGAGTGGTTTTGTCAGATGCGGCATATGGGACTGAAGCATTCAAAGTAATCACAACAGCATGTCCTGGATTTTAAAAGAATACCTTCTAAACAAAATTACTCCTCCTCCTGTAGTTTTCCTGGCTAAGGAACTTACAAAGAGAGTATTTTTATAAGCCTTGTCCATGACTTAACCTACCCAATTTACTCTGTGCTCTGACATTTTATCTGTTCTAGTAAGTTTTGTCAAGGCATGTTAGTTTAATTTTGGGGAGCAATCTTTTTTGTGTATGTTTATTGCACTGCAGTTGGCCTACCTCAATAAGCCTTTCCAATACTTTGGCCCAGATTCAGCTGGGCCCAGGTTTACAGAGATGCGTGAAAACAACATGAGTGTGTTTTTTGTCCCCTGCCTGACTCACAGTAACATCAGCGAGAATAATAATATGAACCAACTGAAATGAAAGTACCTGGTATTCCTCACCATGAAGTTATTTATTTCCAGTGTCTGGTGTGATGCTTCTTGAAATGATCCTTTTTTCCTAAAACTATGAAGATCACTGTCTGAATGCTACGTAGTAGAAGGAGCTTGTAATATCATAGCGTAATTTCTGTCAGAGGGGACCTCAGGATATCTCTAGTCCAACCTCCTACTCGAAACAGGCTCAGATATGGAGTGAGAACGAGTTGCTCAGGGCCATATCCTGTCAGATCTTGAAAACCTCTGAGGATGGAGACTGTACAGCTTCTCTGGGCAACCTGTGTATGTGTTTGACTGTGCTCATGGGCACATTTTTTTCCGTTATATCCAGCCTGAGCCTCTCTTGTCTCATCTTATACTTCTTGCCCTCCTGTTGTGTACTGCTATGGAGAGCCTGGCTCTGTTTTCTTGTCAGTCTCACCATAGGTGCCGGAAAGCTGCTATTAGATCCCTGCAGAGCCTTCTCTTCACCAGGCTGAACAAGCTCAGTTTCCTAATAGGGGATGTGCTTCATCCCCTGAGCATCTTGTGGCCCTTTACTGAACTTGCTCCAGTTTATTGGTGCCTTTCTTGTACTGGGGACCTAAAGTTGGACTCTATCATAGATGCAGTCTAATGAATGCCAAGGAAAGTGACATGATCATTCCCCTCAGTCGATGCTCCTGTTAGCATGCTATACTGCTGCTAATGTAGCCCAGGATACTGTTGGTTGCTTTTGCTGCACACCAGTGGCTTCTGCTCAAGTTGCCATCCACCAGGTCCTTTTTGACAGACCTGCTCCTCCTCAGCCAGCCAGTCTGTTGCCAGCCTGAATCATTGCAGACTGTATTGTTTCCTTTCTGGGTTGCATTTGTCCTTGTTGAATTTCGTACTGTTCTTGTCAGCCCATTTCTCCAGGCTAAGTTCCTTTGGATAGCAGCCCTGCTCTTGGGTGTATCCACAGTTGCCCCTTTTTGGTGCCATTTGCAAACCTGATGAGCATATGCTCCATTGCCTTCTCTGGGTCATTGATAAAGCTGCTAAACAGGACAGGTTCCATTATAGACTCCTGCAGCTTTCCACTTGTTGGTGGAGTATAACCCATTAACTGTTTCCTTCTGAGCCCCATCATCCAACAACAGTTTTTTGCCCAGCTGGTTGTCCACCCATCTAGACTGTAATATCCCAACTTGTGTACAAGGATTTTTTGCAAGCCTGTTTTGAAGGCCTTGCTTAAGGTGAGATAAATGATACCTTCTGTCTCACCTTGTCCATAAATCGAGTCAGTTTATCATAGAAGGCAATCAGGTTCATGAGGGATGATTTACCCTTGGCTTATGCCCAGTCTGTAAAGTCCTACTTGTCTTCCTTGATCCCCTTAGGATCTTGAACTGTACTAGTCCATGGTGACTTCACTCAGGGCTGGCATTGATCGTACCCCCAGTCAGGGTTTGTTTGTGAAGAGCTGATCCAGCTCTGCATTGCCCCCGCTGGCTCACCCAGTAGTATCTCCTGTATGATCCCTGACACTCTCCAGTAATCTTCTGGGTGGTTTGTGTCCTGTCACATTGGTCTTCCAGCTGAGGTTAAGGAGATTAAAGTCTACTGTAAGAACAGGGGCCTGTAATCTGGGGATTTACATTGTAGGTATTCAAGGAACAAGGACAGTTTGTCAGCCTGATAGGTGGTTACTATTGCTGGTATCTACTGCAGTCAGAGATTTCAGTTATTCAGCTAAACATTTATATTCTCCCTATATAAATAGCAGGAGTAGGATGAAATATCTGCATACACATAGCACATGTGCACGACCCCTCTGTCAAACTTGTAAATTCTGTTGAATAAAAGTTTCTTGGCAGTATCGTAGAAGTTTTGGAACACTATAATAAAAGAGAAGCTATTGTCTCTCTGGTTCCTCTGCTGCTATCTGTGGAATTTTCAAAGAGCTATCAACGCTTCTGTAAAGGAAATACAGTGCAACTAGAGCAGCTCCCTGAGAAGCTGGGAAATATTTATTCAGGCAAACCCAAAGCAATGCTTTCTCTTTAGACCTTCATTCTGTTTGTGTAAGTAGCTGTTGCAGGGGAAAGGTCTAGCAGAACCCTGTAGTTCTTATCCCATCCCGCTCTGGGCTGTTTCTAAAGCAAAATGGTTATTATTAATTTAAAGGAATTATCCTAATAACTACTAAGTGGACAATCCCATCATGACTAAATGAATTTAAATCTCAGAATGAAAAACTTCTGGCTGGGTCAACAGAGCAAATCAGCTGTGATTATTTCCTCCCCACCCCCCCATAGCTCAGTTGTTTTCACTTTCCTCATCTCATTTAGGTCTCTCAGAGGTTTTGGTGCATGGAAATTAAACTGCAAGCCACAACCCAAGTGTGCTGCAGAGGAGACATATAAACGAAAGGTTTGGAAAGCTTCCACACCAACTGCTTCAAGCTGTCATTTGCTCCAGTTGAGTGAATTGTTAAAGTAGGTCCTACCTCTGTTACTTAAATAAACTAATTGAAAGCTAGCAAAGGCACCTTGAAACTCTACTGCTAGCTACCTGCAGATAGGTTGCTGTAGTTGAGAGTTCAAGCCAGGTAGAAAGGACAGACTGTCTTGCTGTCGTAACTGATTTCTCTTGTCTGGAAAAGGGGGGCAATTCATACTCATCTTGCTGGATTTCTGTCTCTGATTTTTGGAAACTTTTGCTCTCCTTTTTTTCCCTGCCTTTTTCAGCTGTCATCTGTTCCCATGCCAGTTACCTTTCTTAAATTTGCTTTACAGCTCTTAGGTTTGTTTGGGTTCTCAGTGGTTCTGGATGCCCTAATAGTAGCTTGGAAACTGAGACCCAGAATCACGGACTAATTTAGTTTGGAAGGGACCCCTGGAACTTATCTGGCCCAACTTTTTTCTTCAAACTGGCCACATTCCTTGTGCTCTTAGCCTGGTCAAATAGGCTGGAGCTCTACAGGCTCAGTCATCTCGGCAGCTGGAGAAGAAACTCATCTCCTGGAGCTACACTAGCTATAGAGCTTACAAGAGGTAAGAATAAACCATAAAGTTTGGCTAATGATGAAGACGACGTGTTGGGGCTGCACTTGACCTAATCAATGACAATGGAGTAGAAATAGCACAAAACATCTTGGCGAGTCAGAATCTCCACTGACCAGGGACTGGGACCTCTTTTTAGGGAGAAAGCCAAAATCTGCTGCTGTTTCTCCTCTTGGAATCACAGGCGGTTTTTTTCAATTTGCTGTTGTTCTGAGTCGTGTAATTCTCTATGACTGCACAATTCAGAGTAATTTAATCATATTGTTCTTGCTTATGTTAACACGTCAGTGGAAAAACAAGTACACCATAAAAAAGACTGTGACATTTTTCTCTTCTGTATTCTGTTGAAGAGAAAAATAAAACACTCGCAGTAGCCCATGCTCATGTTAGAATAGTTTCCACTCCTACATCTTAATGAAAGTAATGCGCTTACGTATCTAGATTTGCAAGCTGTATGCAAGTAGTAAACACTCTGCCCTTTATGGCCTATGTCTTCAGTAGCAAATAGTGTTGATCTGTAGACCAGATGCCCACAGTATCAAGAATTTTTTTTAGGAGAGTCTGAGGCTTGGAGCTATTTAAAACTTTACTTTAGATTTTTTGGGGGAGGTGGATTTTTTTTTTTTTTTACATCTTTTTGGGTTTTTATCTGGTTTTTTTTTTTTTTGCTGTTTGTTTTGTTTCTTTGGTAGGGAGCAGGAGATTTGTGGTATTTTTGTTTGTTTTTTTTTTTTGCTTTTGAACTAACTGTAGTCTGATCCTATGGACTGAATGCCTGCTTACAGCTCAGGCCTATTAGGTGAACTCCCAGAACATATCTTCTAACTACTTTTTATCCAAAAAAAATCACTTCTAGTGCTCTGAGGCTGTTCCACAATATGAGCCAAATACAGTGAGTGGTGACAGTCAGGAAACTTGATTCAAAAGCCTGCATCCCATTCAAACAAAAAACCTAATGTGCCTGTGCCTAATATATATATCATTAAGAAATAGGGGATTCAAAACCTTTAACTGTCTGGGCTTAAGCACTTCTTAGGTCCCATCAGCTTTTAGTGGAGTAAAAATATTTCACAGGGTGTTTTAAATGTATATAGATGCATTGTATGCTTTAAATCCATGCAAGAGACGAATAGCCTTTATGAGAATTTCACTTGCTTATCAGACCCTATATATGAAGTTGCTGGGACTCAAAGTTAGTGCTGATTTACTGGTTTTTGTTGTTTTTTTTTTTTGCCCTGCTTGAGCAGCCATCCTTCTCATAACAAAGAAATGAGAGAATTTCACCTATAAGTAATTAAGAACAATGAGATTAGACATGTACCAAAATGCAGGCAGCACTTTCCTAGGAGCGTCCTGTTATTTCCCTGCCCCTGAAATGTGTATTTGGGTAGAAATCTGGTTTTTTTATAGAATAGAATTGTGAAAGACTGGAAAAAGTGTCATGTTGGCCAGCCTATGTGTACCATGGTTTTGTATCTTTCCATTTACACATAGAAATAGCTTAGGGAAAACCTTTTTGGTTGGGAGCAGTGCTTGCTCTGTATGGATACAAAGACAGGGTCTAGTTCTTGAAAGCGTTCAAAAAATTTTGCACTCTGAGTCAGACTGATGAAAATATTTACATTGCGCACAATTTACCTAACGTTCCAAAAATTAAGTGTGGTTCATTGCATAGGTACATTGAACCCTGAAGATCCAGAACAGGTTTAGAGATCAGCCGTGCCAGCAATCCCTCCTGTATTTCTTCTCAGCTTCAAGAAAAGCAGAGCTGGCTGTTGTCTTCTCTTTACTTCCTGACAAAATTTTTTGTATGCTATGTGTATTAAACCCTTAGCAAGCATATTTGCCGCTTCCTTTCCTTGGCCCTTATCCACTTTGGATGGATAGTCTTCAGGTCAGTGTGTTTTTGTGTGTTTACTCCAAATCATATTTGGAAGGAAAAAAATCACAATAGAAGTAACGTACGGTGACAAAGCCTAATGCTGAAATCCTGCGACTGCTAGTACTGTTGGATGGCTACTGCTATCTTTCTGTGTAATGTCTTAATGAAGTACTATTTTATGAGATATTAAAACGAATAGTTTAGCTGACTGCCTTTATGCTGTTAAGCTAGTAGTATCTTGTTATAAGGTCTCTCTCGCTATTGCTTAGCAACGATTGAGATGCCAGCAGTTGCATCTTGTCTTGGTTTAACCCTGGCTGGCAACCGAGCACCACCCAGCCGCTCGCTCACTCCCCTGCAGTGGGATGGGGGAGAGAGTTGGAAGAATAAAAGTGAGAAAGCTCATGGGTTGAGATAAAGACAGCTTAACAGGGAAAGCAAAAGCCGTGCATGCAAGCAAAGCAAAGCAAGGAATTAATTAACTACTTCCCATGGGCAGGCAGGCGTTCAGCCATCCCCGGGAAAGTGGGGCTCCATCATGCGTAATGGTGACTTGGGGAGACAAACGCCATCACTGCGAACATATCCCCCCCCCCCCACCCCCCTCCCACCATCTTCCACCAGCTTATATGCTGAGCGTGATTGCATATGGTCTGGAATAGCCCTTCGGTCAGTTGGGGTCAGCTGTCCTGGCTGTGCCCCCTCCCAGCTTCTTGTGCACCTGGCAGAGCACGGGGAGCTCAAAAGTCCTTGACTGGTGTAAGCCCTGCTCAGCAACAACTGAAACATCAGTGTGTTATCAGCATTCTTCTAGTACTGAATACAAAACACAGCACTATGCCAGTTGTTGGGAAGAGAATCAACTCTATCTCAGATGAAACCAGGACACATCTGAACTAGAGTTCAAATGGGGGATATTCTCCAGCCTCATGCACCCGCTGCTGACCTGCTGCCAGGGCGCTAGTCTGTCTGCAGCTCCTCGTGCTGGCAGGCACATGCGTCATTTAAACTCTCAAACTCCATGGGCTTTGAAAAGAGTTTGCAGCTCCTCCCATTTGATATGTTTTTCTGCATGTTAATTCGAGACAGAAAACTCATAGAACAAGTTAACAGAGGGATCATTAAAGCTTGTTTTAGCACAATGTGGAAACGAAGAACAAAGAACCAGCTTTTTAGGTAAAGCGTCTTCTGATAGCCTGTGAGACCATTCTCAGGCTGGCTTTTCCATGAATTCTCCTAGAAAGTATCAGAAAGAACATGCAATAGTATTTGTATTCATTAATATCAGTGATGTACCCCCTGATTTTTATTTTGGTTCACTGAAGTGTGTATATCTAGGAGAAAACTCCTAGAGTCAAAAAATCCTATATAGGAGTATCACCTGGAAAACTGTTTTTGGATGGTTATGTAAATCTTCCTGATGGCTAAACACTAATCCCTGACAAAATTAAAAAGGTTCATTTATAGGATATAGAGCAGGTCTGGACAGGGGTTTTGAGGTAAATTTCAAAAACAAGAGGGAAGACGAATCATGTACTTCAGCATTTGTAATGTGTCACTGCCTGAAAGCGTTCCAGAAAGTTTTCATATTACAAGAGCAGTTGTGTTTTCTCTTGTATTTCTACCAGACAAAGTTGATGAAGTGCATGCAAGAATCACCTCATTCAAGGAGCTGGAACGCTTCAGGTTTTGTAAATATGTTCTACTCAAAAAGTATCCTGACTGATGATCTCTTTCCCCTTCCCTGCGTCAGAAATGACCTGTGTCACCTTGCTATCTGCTCTCCCTCAGCAAGGAGAATAACAAGGCTTTTAATATCAGTTGTGGTACCGCCTTAACCAGGGTTATGTATTAGTTTCCATTTCATTTGGTACAATTCTTTTTACAAATGAGTGACCAGACTGAAGCAGTTTTCGGTGTGTGTATGTCTTGCACATGCTGTTCAGCAGAAACGAGCTACACAGACCAAAATTATTTAACCAGACATACTTTTTTTTCATGGCAATGATGTGAAGAGTTGCTCTTGAAGGCTCTCTTGGGGAGGGATGTGTGGTGATTTTGTGGAGGGCTGCAACCGAACCTCGGCTGATGCAGCCATGTCGGTAGCGGCGTCTCATGGAGATGGGATGTGTGCCTGCAGGAGGAAGTTTCTTGACAGCATTGCTTTGCTACTGTCTTAAGCAATATGGACTGATCTACCAAAAGCATTCTTCTGCTGGCACCATGCATCAGGGCTGTTGCTCATATAACTGCTTGGCTAGAGATTATGACTTCCTCCACATGATCCAGCCTGACAAAACCATCTCTGATGGCTTAAGGTGGACTGGTCCTATGTTGGACAAGAGCATGCATAGAGGTCCTTCAGGTCTTGGTATTTGCAGAGTTCAAGCTGAAACAATGTGGGAGAGAGGGTTCTCTATCTCCCCCCCATTGCTGAAACTTCTTACTGTCTGTAGTTTGTTTGTTTGTTTTTTTTTAAAAAAGACATTTTTAAATTTAGAATTATTTTCCTGTATGCGGATGAAAATGATCCCTTCTGGAATTTAGCTCTTCAG